GGTGACCATGGTTACCGCTAATTTGTGCCTGGCTCCGCCCATCCCACCGAATATGCACCTAACGCCAAGCTCATCATTAACGATGAGTTTAATATATATATATGCTATATATGTTCAGTCATCTTAGTTTTGCCTCCTGGCAGCAAGATGGCCGCCTTACATATCGTCTAAGTAGTCCATTAATCAGTTCACTCATCTACGCATTCATTCACTTACCATCAGATTCATTCACTCAATCATTTAGTTATTTTTTCGTTCATTCATTTGTAAACTTCAGCTGATTTGGAATAGTGACATAGAAATGAAGTCACTGCAAAACTAAGGTGTTATGAATCCTGCGAAAATTTACCAGCGAAAAATAAAAGCATGTCTGCCATTGAAATAAAAATATAAAATCCAGGAAAGTTATATATTTTTTCATCTTTTTTTAGTGGCCTGATTTCAAGAGGAAAAGTGACCATTTTTTTGCAAATTTTCACGATTCTGATTGACTGACGTTTTTTCTCAGATCAAAGATCAACTGTTTTAAACCTCATTCAATATTTCATACACTTATCATATATTCACTCTAGATCTCTCTATCATTCCGCATTCAGTAGTTACGTTCATCCATGATCAGTAGACTGAACTTGATTCTTTTATTCATATATTCACTCTCTCTATCATTCCGCATTCACTAGTTACATTCATCCATGATCAGTAGACTGAACTTGATTCTTTTATTCTGAAGTTCAACCTGGACTTGAAACCATTGTTTCGTGACCAGTCAAGTGAATTCTATAAAGATCTTTTGGCTTCGAGAAATAACATTATTTCTATGGATCTAGCAGATACGTCCCTAAATCTCAGTGCTATCTTATTCACTTCCCCTTACATTCTGTTTTAAGATAGACCTCTTTGCGCGCCGTGGGCACGTTTTCCCATTTCAAACGCATATCTCTGTACTGTGATATGAATACACTGGGAGCTTTAGAACATGAGAGAAGCGAGCAAAAGAACACAACAGCTTTTCGATAGTGTCTATACGAGCTCCCAGAAATGCTTTACACCTATTGTATCCAAAAACATATTTTTTAATAGAATAATAGAATGATAGAATGATAGAAATAAAACATATTTTATTTACAAAAAAAATCATAAGCTTACATTTGTTTTTGTATCAAAATTTATTTTATGCATTTATCATATAAGATTTAAAAAATGCCAGACATTAGATAGGTATTTTCGTAACAGCCAAAAAGCACACCTCATAATATTATCACAAACTACATTTCTGATTACGACAAAAAAAAAAAAAAAAAAAAGCATATTCCTCTCCTCACGTACATATTTAAGGACCAATGGTATATCAATCTAACTGACTAATAGTTTATCTATTCAAAGCAATAAGAACATGGTCTCCGAAACAAATGGACTAGGTAAGTAGAATCCAAAAAACAAATAGACAGTCTAGATCTTAATGCGCGATCCAAGTTGAGCAAAATTGAAACACACTTTGCAAATATGCTGTCATGTGTGGGTGAGAACAAATTATGTTCGAAGGCTTAAATAAACAATGTTGATCAGTGAAGTGCGTCAACACTTAGAAACATACCTTATCTTCTAATTTATGTTTGTGGAAGTTAAGTTTTTTTTCAATATTTACTTCAGCAGTAAAATTTTTTTTCATGTTGAATTTTGCGGAAAGACAAAAACTTAAACCGATGTGAAAGCGGTTAGGGAGTCACGTATGATTTTTTTTTTTGAAAGTCGGCAAGCGAGCGGCAATTATAATATAATAATAATATAATCAAATATAATTTCTAAACAAATAGGCCTGATATATCTTCTC